CTTACCTGACTCTTCTAATTTTTCCAGAGTTATTCTCAAATTCTTTTCCAAGTTTGACATAAGAATGAATTTCATCAGTCAGATGTTTTCTCCAAGCTCGATTTCAAATTATTTTCATTGTTGACTCAACCTCTTAGATTTTCATTCTCCCGGAGTATCTCAACAAGTTTGGTGGTGTTCCTCGTCGTCATTCTCAACATTTGAAGACCGAAGAAGAGTTCTCCTCTAAATCCTGTCTGTTCTCTCAGAGATTTGTGGTGCTAGCTTGTTGCTATCCTCCTGTTGTTTCCAATTGTGCGATTCTCTTCTTACCCATCCGGAGTATTTTAGGAGTTGTTTTTCCGTTTCGATCATCCGGAGGCCATCATTTAAGAAGATTCACATTTTATTTCTAGATATTTAATGACTGATGGTGGTTCACATTTTATTCATGATGCTTTCCGTAAAATGCTTGCTAAGTATGATGTTAATCATAGAATTGCATCTCCATATCACCCTCAGCCTAGTGGTCAAGTAGAATTGAGCAATTGAGAGCTTAAATTAATTTTGCAAAACACTGTTAATAGATCTAGAAAGAATTGGTCAAAGAAACTTGATGATGCATTATGGGCTTATAGAACTGCATATAAAAATCATATGGATATGTCTCTGTATAAGATGGTTTATGGTAAAGCATGTCACTTACCTCTTGAGATAGAACATAAGACATATTGGGCCATTAAAGAGCTCATTTATGATTTCAAATTTACCGGTGAGAAGAGACTTTTTGACATTAGTTCACTTGATGAATGGAGAGACCAGGCCTATGAGAATGTCAAACTGTTTAAAGAAAAGGTTAAAAAATGGCATGACAAAAGGATACAAAAACGTGAGCTTAATGTAGGATACAAAAGGATACAAGTTGGGTGAAAACCTAGATTCTTGCCTCTTGCGGTTGGATCCGGCGACGACGACGTTGCTGCGTCATTCCCTTCCTGAAGGCGTTGTTGTTGAAGAACTTTTTTGTCCTTGTGGTGTCAAAAGATGGATGGTGCGGATATGATCGTTGTGGTAGTTTGTCGATCATTGTTCTGATCGCTTTGGATTTTTTCGCTTAGGCATAGCTTTGGTCTTGTGACTTTGCTATTTCTCAGTGTGTGATTTTTGTGTGTGTGCGTGTGTTGGTGTTGGCTGTGTTTATTACCTGTGCAGAGACTGGGTGTGTGCTCATCATGCTTTGTATCTACTGGATGCTTCATTTTGAGTTAATAAAATTCACCCTTTGTCAAAAAGATGTCATGGAGAAATTTATTCATCTAGCACGCTGTCAAGCGGGACCCACTCGTGCTGAGTAATGGCTTCTGCGCAACTAAATATAAAGCAAGGGTGTCTCTCCAAAAAAACACGGGCCCGTCACTCGGGTCACTAACAGTGAGCCGTGGTCACGTTGGCATGCCACATTAGTGCAGGATACGGATGAAGTGACCGTATTTGCATAAAAAATGTAAATTGGATGACCACCAACTTGTATTTTTAAAGTTCTAGCACCAAACTGAACATGTAAAGCAAGTTCTATAACTCCCGATAATGCTACCTCAACTCAGAATGAGCACAACAAATCATCTCATTTGTCGTAACAATGAGCTACTAGTACTTGTTTTTCTTCGTCTTATTTATTCTCGTCTCAATCATTTGGCGTGATATGATAAAGAAAAGGACCGTGCTAACGTCCAGTCGACCGGACGTTAAGCAACATATCCGCACAATCGTAACCCACCTCCCTCTCGTTACTGTGATTCCACCGATTTTTTTTCTTCTCTCGAAAACCGTATACGCCAATAGTAAATCGCTAGTGGTTTTTCTGGTTTTGGCTACACAATATGAAAAGAAAATTAGAAGTGCTAGAAAGGGGACTTGAACCCAGGTCTATTCACTAGACTTTGAGCCCAATAACCAACTAAACCACCTTCAATTGTTGTATATTGTATATAAACAAGGTTATTTGGACCTTTCTTTTTTTCTATCATATTAGGGATAATAAATTCTTTTGCTTGGTAATTTTGGCATGACCAGCGTGATAACTATGACTTGAGCAACATGATAACTATACTATGATAAGCCTGATAACTATAATATGAGAAGGTTAATGACTATACCATGAGAAGCAAGATAACTTTACCATGGGGGAGTGGTAACTTCACACTGGGGTATGTTTTCGACAAAAAAAAGTTACCGGGACATGTTTCAGTAACGTTTTCACATGGGTAAAAAGTTATCAATGTGTTTTATATAAGTTATCGGGTGTCTGGTGCGTAAATTACCTTGCTATTTGCACTGGGTTATCAGGGCATATTTCTAGAACTTTTCGCCCAAGGTGAAAAGTTATCAATGCGTTTATATGTAAGTTATCAGGTTAATTGTACATAAGTTATCATCTTATATGTAAGATCGAAAAATTATCACATTTTAACTGAGTAAGTTATCAGCTCTGATGTGCGTATATTATGATGTTTTTTGCATGGAAGTTATCGAGGTATGTTTTTCAACAACATTTTTCTTGGGTCAAAAAGTTACCGCAAATGTTTGTGCGTGGGTAGTTACCAGCCCCGTTATGTGTGTATTATCGTGCAGGGTATTGTTCAACAAACTTTTCTCTCGGGTAAAGGTTCTCGCGGTGTTTCTACACAAGTTATCAGGTCGGTGATGTGTATATTAGCATGTTATTTATACAAAATTACCGGGATATGTTTTCAACAACTTTTTCCTCTTTGAATCGAAAGTTATCATGGTTTTTGTATGTAAGTTATCAGCTTCGTGTGCGCAAATAATCATGTTGTTATACATAAGTTATTGGTGCAATTTTTTCAACAACCCCCCTTCATTTCTGGGTCAAAAGTTATCAAGGCGTTTGTACACAGGTTCTCAGCTCCCCTTGTGTGTAAACTACCAGGGTTTTCCTTTCAACAATTTCCAATGCTCCCCCTTCCCCCCAACGACATGGTTTGAAAATTAGCTACTCGGTGCTAGTAATATTTTTTTAGTTTTTCTTGCATTAAGAAGGATAGTATTCATACGAAATGTACACATAAGCTACTTAGTTGGCTAGAAATTCAGGTTCGAATATTCTGCACCATTCACACACGTGAGATCTTTTTTGCTTTTCTGGCCGGAGATCAAAAGGTACAAAAGAGAAATCAAACGAAATTTAATCAAAAAATCAAGATAGCCCAGGTGGTTATTGAGTTGTGAATTTAGCTATAGGTGGAAGGTTTGAATCCCGGCTTCTACACTTTTTTGAGAAATTGAATAGAAAAAAAGGAAACATATGCGTGGACTGAGAAATTAGTGGTCGGAAAAAAGGAAACGGCTGGGAAAAAAGGAAACTGAGAAATTGAATAGAAAAAGGAAAATATTTAAATCCGCACACTAATTAGTTGCCGAAAAAAAAGGAAACGGCCGAAGAAAAAAGGAAACTGCCGCCAGCGAGGTGCGTAGCAGCGGGCGGCAATCGCGTCGTTCGGATCTGTTGCAAACAAACAGTCGGCAGGATTTTAGCTTTGCCGTAAAGAAAAACAAGTGTAGGAAACAAGAGGCGCGCACATAATAAAGTGAAGGTGCGTGGAACACGTTTTCTTCTATCTTGTGCACGACCGGCCGCCTCGGGTCAAGATCACGTCCACGTCACTCGCATGGCTAGAGCCAAAAGCCAGTGGACGGAAATGTGGAATTAGTGGGCGGAGCATCACGTAATGCATCATCTTATCTACCGTCAATCGCTATAAGACCACCACGATCTAGGAGAGTTACAGGAGGTGAATATAGAGGAACATCTTATGGTAAAAGCTTAGCGAGAGAACCACCAACGGATGGGTGGTTGCACTCTCAGCCATCAAGATCGAACTTCAGGTGTGCCCCATGGCCCATGCCCCTTCTGAAAGTGGCACGTCTAGCTGCAGGTACCATTTGCCTTCTCCTACGTGTTTTTGATTCCACAGTAGATCGACCCATAGATCACCTTCTACTTTCCTCTATCGATTCCCGGCCTCTCCTTTTCAGTCACTAATAAAAGCCTCGCACGTTTTAAAGGTGCTGCATCAGGAGCGAAATTCCATCGCTCTGCTTTCTAGGTGCTAGAGCTCACTAGCACGCCCTCCCTTTCCTTCATATTGTATGTATGTTTTGTGAAAGCGCGAACTATTCTGATGTCTACCGTAGCAGCAGCAGCAGGTAGCCAGGCATCCCTTCTCAATCTGAAAGCAACGCACCACCACCTCTTGTTATCAGGTCATCAGGATTGTTAATGCACGCGGTCCTGTAACAAATTGCAAGTACGCCTAGTTCTTCCCCCTTTCTTAATAAGACACGGACGCCTCCATCCATGCCTTCACTTCTCTCTCCCCCTATGTCCAAATTTGAGCCTCTATGCATCCAACAGCCAAAACGATGCATGCATGCATGATGGCAAAATACATTCTTCACACATGGAGTGTAAACATCACGAGAGTCCGTTTCGAAAGAAAAAACATCACGAGAGTAACATTTATGTTGCCTAACAAGAACTGAATGTGCAAAGCAAATGAGGCTCTAGCAATGGCAGCGGTTAATGTAACTAGGAAGTTCCCGGAAGAAGTTCAGTTAAGGTCGCCCATAGGCCTACCACAGTCCACAGTTCCTTCCTCAGGCATGGAAAAAAGGTATCAGTTAATGTGTTGCCTTGTTGAGCTTGACACCAGAGAGCAAGAGCACACTTGCATAAAGTGAAGATCGAAAGCTAGCTGCCGACCTGACCTGCTTTACTTTCTTCCATGGGAAACATAACACCAGTCATCTAGTGATATAGTAGATGCCATGGCCTTGTACTGAGTTCAGGAAATCAACAGCGGTGCCACCAGACTAGGATGGCGTTCAAACCTAGTCCAGCTGCATACAGATTCTACAGATTTTCATACAAACGGGGTAGGGACAGGCACACGATCCTGGTGGGATAAGTCTGTAAACCAAGAACGGTATGCCAGCTGAAACTACTCCTGCTCGAAACTGGAGCCTGAATAAACAATAAGACACAATCAGCGCATGGAAGGCCGGACCAAAAGAAACGAGAAGATACAATTGATTAGCGAGGGGCATTAAAATGAAGGAAATCCTTCAGTTGCAGTACAGGAAATCTCTGAGATGGTTGAGCCAACATTCAACTTAACCTAGTTATTGTTGAACGTAAAGGATGCTTCGTTAAAATAGAACTGATAAAAAGTCCTAACAGTCTCTTTTGCAGACCTATTTACATTCGCCCCTGTGAGTCCGGGTAATGTATGGTGGCATTAGCAATCAAAAGGATGCACAATGGTGCAAGATGAGACAGCATGCAGTGCTGCTTGGACCTAGCTTTAGATTCTTACTGAAATATGATATGGAATTGTTTCCTTGCTATCTTCACAAAATGTTGGAATGCCCACTTCTCCAAATTTAAAATATCCATTACTTTGTCTAAACTAATTGATACTCAGTGACCTAAAACGTCTTACATTTGTTTACAGAAGGAGTACCTTCTTCCATTGGTAAATTTTACACAAACATGCTGACTGCAGAAATATTACGAGGAAGAAACATAATCAGTGTGGAGTGGTAATAGTTACTTACAATCAGACTGCACACTGTTCTGTTGGTTGTCAATAAGATCAGGAGGTACTCCAAGGCTAACAAGGATCTTTACAATTTGGTGAATCCTTTCATCTTCCTTGCAACACTTGATTTTGACTACTTTAAGATTCTTCGATACCAAAAATTGTTCTCTTGGCTTGTAGCTTTCATCTTTTCCATCCATAGATTGTTGCTGTAGAAAAGATAATATCTAACTGAAATCAATCAACTGCAATGGCGACTTCAAAGAAAAAAAACTGGTGTAATTGGAAAACATATAGTACCTCATCAAATCTAAGTTGAAGGGTAAGCCTCTCTAGAATTGGTGAGTGCTGAAGAAAGTAAACCAGTCCACCGAAGGCAGCAGCCAGACACCACTCATTGAGAAACAATGTTTTTAACTTGCTAAATGTATGGCACCATTTAAAATCCCTGGTGCAAATAATCTGGATAAAGTGGAGAGGATTAAATTATATTCAATGTCCAACTTTGTAAGTACTTGATAAGTACTCCCTCCATTCCGAATTACTTGTCGCAGGTATGGATGTATCTAGATGTATTTTAGTTCTAGATACATCTATTTCTGTGACGAGTAATTTGGAACGGAGGGAGTAATACTGAATGGAATAGAAGCTGCCAGCAGGGTTTCAGATTTGCAAGTTTCTGGTTTAATCAGAAATAAATTAAGCTGTACCATCTAATGTGGCAAAGATTAACGTGTACTATAAAAATAAATATTAATCTTATGCTTTTGGATAGTATAAACATCAGAAGTATAGACTAGCAACGAAGAACACACAGATGCTGATATGCATAATGTACTGTCATTGCACGAACCAACTATTAGGTGATGTCTACAGAGAAACATAATGGTTCAAGTGCGAATTGGCAACATACATGCAATGCCCATAAGCAGCCTCCCTAAGATGTTTCTATGATGGATACAAATGTACAGGACCAGATGGCAATCAACCCTAGGAGACAGTGAACGTGAAAGCATACCGCTTGAGGAGCACTTGTCAACTTCAAATTTGTAGCGTCACATAGACCTTTTAGAAGCACACAGTCATCGCCATGACAGAGGCAAGAAGGACATAACTCATCATCACAGTCCCCATAGTAACCACCATTAAGACAATGATCATAACACGCTTGACGTTCATACCATTCTTCATCAAACCTGACAAGTGCCGTTACCAATAACGGCATGCTCTCAAGGGAAGGAGTCCAACCCAAATTGTCAACTAGTTTCAAGGCAGTGAGACTTGGGCAAGAGATACGAGTGCGGCCATACAGGTCAAAACGGCATATCTCCATAGTTAGATGCCTTAACGATTTGCACAAGATCTTCTCGGCGCTGATTTTACAATCATACATCTTTAATACCTCTAGCATTGGGCAGCTTGAAAAATTCAGAGTGGGTTCCTCAAATTTCATACCAGCGAAATCTAATACTGTCAGGTGCTGGCAGATGAGAGTCACGTTGGGTAGCTGCAGACGCCGACTGTAAACTCGAAGCACCCAAACTCGAAGCACCCGAACATGGCAGGATGCCGCATATCGGAGCCACAGCTCAACGTTGAGGGGTGCGGATGGGTCGTCGAGGTAGGTTCTGATATCGACCTCATGCAGCGGCGCCCGGTCGCGGAGGAGAAGCAGCGAATTAACAAACCAGAGCTCTTCCTCCCCTTCTCTATCGATGGGCACCGGCGCCATGACGCGCACCACGGGCACGGACTTCCAGAGGTGGCGCCAGCGGCGAGCGAGCACGCATGTGCAGACGGACTCGCGCGAGGTAAGGAACGACAGCACGCGGCGGAGGAGATCGTCCGGGAGGGCGCCGATGCGGTCCTCCCCGCCGGGCACCACGCTCTCAGGCATTCTGTCGAACAGGCAGCAGGCGTCGGATCGGCTTGGGGTTGGAACCCGAGACGGTACGAGCGATATCCACCAGGCGGAGATGGGTGCGTGGAGGCTGAGAGTGACGGAGGATTCAGGCGGAAACGGGCGAGGAGGGGGTGACGGCGGGTGCTCGTCGGCGTACGCCGTGTCGCTGCCCGTGGAGTCGAGTGCGCCGCCGAAATGTGCGGTGGGCCCTGCCTGGAGCGGGCGCCCCTATGCGAGACAGACGGCAGCCTCTCGCGTCGGGGGAGCTCTACATGGGCCGCGGCCCAGCCACGAGGGAAGCTCCAACCTCCTTTTTCTGCTTTTCTTCTTTCTGTTCTCTGTTTTCTTTTTTCCTTTTTTGTTTATACTTTCAAATATTATATATATATATTAGAAGAAACACTCTATAAAAATGTGTTGAACAAGTATTTGAATTTTTTAAAGGTATTAAAATTGTTGAACAAGTATTTTAAAATGTTGAATAAGTATTAAAAGTGTTGAAAAAATATTTGAAAAATGTTGAATAAGTATAAAAAAATGTTGAATGAGTATATGAAAAAATTTTGAACAGGTATTTGAAAATGTTGACTCAGTATTAAAAATGTTCAACAAGTATTTAAAAAATGTTGAATAAGTATTAAAATATGTTGAACAAGTATCTGAAAAATGTTAAACAAGTATTTGAATTTTTTTTGAATAAGTATTAAAATATTGAAGTATTTGAATTTTTTGAATAAGTATTAAAATGTTGAACGAGTATTTGAAAAATGTTGAATAAGGATTAAGAAATGTTGAACGTGTATTTTGAAAAAAATGTTGAATAAGTATTAAAATGTTGAACAAGTATTTGAAAAATGTTGAATAAGCGTTCAGACAATTTTGATCGTGTATACAAGAAAATGTTGATCACTTATTAAAAAATGTTTTTGACATATACGAAAATGTAGAATTAAAACGAAAACAAACAAAAGAAAAACAAAAAAATGAAGAATAAATAAGAAAACCAAAAAATGGAGAAGAAAAACAGAAGAAAAAAACCCAGTGAAAACAATGGGAAAACCGGCTTCATTTCTTTGAGGCAAAATACGCTTTATTATCATTCATGGCAATGTTTACATGAATTACAGTGGGCTCGTGGGTACCCAGCCATACATGACGTCCAATGCCTAGCTCAGCTGCGTGCTTTTGTGATAATATGCGCCTCGTAGTTAGAGTTCCTGCGCTCATAGACAAAAGTACATTTATCAAATTGAGATTTTCGCTGACTAATTTCTCTGGCGATTGCTCCATACGTCCCGGTCGCATGCTATTCAATATCCCGAACGACATTCTGTGAGTCAGAGGCAACCACTAGTCTTGCAATAGAAAGATCCTCGGCCAAAGCGAGGCCCTCTCGACATGCCAACGCTTCCATGCATGCTTGCAGGGTCTTTGATGCCTTCCACTACGATCACCAACGCACCAAGGTATGAACCTTGCTCTGTGATACATATGGTTGCAGCCGCTGCCCTTTCGCGGCTCCAGCCAAAGCCTCCATCTACATTAATTTTGTTACAACTTACAACCAATCTCAAGTGGAAGTCACCTCTTACTTATATCAAAAACTAAACTGGTCCGGATGGACTTTGGGGTTTGAATTGCATTGAGCTCAGCCAAGTAAGAATTGAAAAAAATTATGAATAGAATCGGGGCCCTGAAATATATCCTCATGGATTGCCTTCCTCCTCGCTGACCAAATGACCCATAAAGTGACGACCAATTTTGTAAAATCCACATGAGATAGTGAGTCACTCATTCAAAACAGCTATTTCTTCGCATCTGGTTCAGTATATGCAGATATTGAAAGTGCTAGTGATCGATTAGAGGGGGGTGAATAGGCGATTTTTATGAAAGTCTTCAAAACATGGAAGTTTCGAAGACAAACGACAGAAATAAACCTATTACCATGCAGCGGAAGGTAGACTACACTAGGCAAACCATAGTCAAGTATTCAATGAAATGAAAGCACAAAGACTAATAGCAGCTAGGCAGTATAGATCAGGATGGAAGATAGTATGAAGCCAATCAGAACATGCAGTCACTAAGTGAAGACAAAAGATAATGCAAACAGACAATGACTTCACAAGGACCAACTGTAAATAAAGAGATGGAAAGGATAGAACCAGTTGCTCGTTGAAGACAATGATTTGTTGGACCAGTTCCAGTTGCTGTGACAACTGTACGTCTAATTAGGAAGGCTGAGATTTAACTCAGAAGACCGTGTCTTCACCTTATTCCCCTTGAGCTAAGGACACCCAGTCCTCGCCCAATCACTCTGGTAAGTCTTCAAGGTAGACTTCTAAACCTTCACAGACTTTGTTCACCGACGATCCACAATGACTCTTGGATGCTCAGAACGCGACGCCTAACCGACTGGAGGATTCACAGTCCTCAAGTGTAATAAGTCTACAGATCAAACAAACAAGAAGACTTAAGTGATGCCTAACACTCTTTGGCTATGGGTGTTTAGGGCTTTGTCCTCGCAAGGATTTCTCTCTCAAAGGCTTTGAGGTGGGTTGCTCTCAAACGACAAAAGCCGTGCACTAACTCTGAGCAGCCAACCAATTTATAGTGTAAGGGGTGGGCTATTTATCGCCACTAGGCAACCCGGCCTGATTTGTCCGAAATGACCTCGGGTCACTAAGGAACTGACACGTGTTCCAACGGTCAGATTTCAAACACACACGGCAACTTACTTGAGCTACAAGCAAAGCTGACTTATCCAGCTCTGGATAAGATTTGCTCTCATTGTCTTCGCTCGAAGACATAGGATTCTGATTAAGCATCACTTCAGTCATTCTGACTGGTTCACTTGGACCCCACTTAACAGTACGGTGGTTCCTATGACTCAACAAAGAAGAAAACGAAACAACTAAGTCTTCGCGCTCCATAGTTTTCACACAATGTCTTCTCTTGTCATAGTCTTCAATGTGAATACCTTCACATACCAGCTTTGTCTTCAATGTCTTCATACATTTTTAGGGGTCATCTCTGGTGGGTAAACCGAATCAGTGAGGGACTTCTACCTGTGTTATCCTGCAATTCTCACAAACACATTAGTCCATCAACCAGGTTTGTCATCAATACTCCAAAACCAACTAGGGGTGGCACTAGATGCACTTACAATCTCCCCCTTTTTGGTGATTGATGACAAACTGGTTGAAGTTTTCAACGGGGATAAAGGTATGTGAAATTGTAAAGGATTTAAGTATTGTCTTCGTAAGTAGCAGAAAGGCTCCCCTGAAGATGTGAATATAAGTATTTGCTTTTGAATACAAATGCACAAGGCAGGTTGTACTTGCGGAGCTCCTCTTTTACTTATGAAGACAATTCATCATGCATGAAAGGATATATCGAAGATAATGACATGCATAATGGAAAATGGACGCTTGCCAAATGACTTCGTGCGGAATTTATCGTCGCACATGCGGAATTTATCATCGCATCACATAGTGTCAAAAAAGTAGCAGACGACCATCAAGTTTAAGTGTTACAACTCAAAAATGAACCAAATGTTTCAAAAGCGAGAGTTGTAAGCACTTTGCAAATGTAGCAAAAAGTAAAGCAACCACACATATGGACCCGCTTGAAGACTATCAACTCATATGCTTCTCCCCCTTTTGTTAGTAAGGACCAAAAAGGTTTGAAGACATAGAGCTTCTACTCGTTCCCATGAGGTGCAGGCGAAGCAGCAGGGTCGTCGTTGAGGTCCGGTGGTGCACAAGAACTCGGTGCAGTGTCGACACGCGCTGAAGTTGGAGGTGGTGAAGTGGCATCATCTTGGTCATCGATGACTCTGGCATTCACCGTCGCAGCTGAGGACGAATAGTCAGAGTCTTCAAGTGAGGGAGTCCGACGCAAGTGAGCATTCCTTGGAGGAGTGGAGTCAAACTTGTCTTCCTGTGAAGCCATCGTCTTGAAGATCTTCTTCAGCAGTGAGCAAGGTCAAACTCTTCCAAGACCTCCGTCAGGTTTCATGTGTAACAAAGGCATTCTTGGTGGCAAGATTGCGAATGTGATTGACGTCCACCAAGAGGCTTTGCATCTGACGCTTAAGCCAGTCATGATGCTTATCCTGTTTCTGATGTAGCGCGACGAGAAGCTCTCGGTCATTGAGAACACGAGATCGCTTCCGAGGCCTTTGGGATATGGTGCTTCTAGTTGCGTCAGTTTGGGCGCGAGGGGCACGTGTGTTACCAGCCAAGGGATAAACACGAGAGACTGCCTGAACTCCTTCAATGGGTTGGGTGAAGCTTTGACGATCAACGTTGTGAAGATAGATTGAATCCTTAGTAGGCTCTGGGTAAATAGCTTCAACAGACAGATCAACCTCTGGCAAGAATACAAGATGATTGCGCGCAGACGGCTGATAGTTGAAGGCAGAGTGAAGCTTGATAAGGCGCATTACCCATGGAGCGTAGACCTTCAGACCAAAGATGTCGGAGCCAGATGCAGCTAACTTCCGGATGAAGAAGTCCTGAGCATTGAAGCTGACGCCCTTGAAGATATAGAAAACCAAAGTCTTCATTGCTCCTTCAAGTTTCGCTGCAGATGAATGTCCTTTGACAGGCCATAGAGTTTTCCTGATGATATGGTAAATGGTACGTGGCAGATACTCTAGGTCTTTGACAAAGAATTCTGTTGGTTATTCAGCGTCGCGTGGCAGAGGCTTCATCATGCTTAGCATTTGGCTCATGTTGGGTTCTGGCTTCTGAAAAATGCTCTCCAAAGCATTCTGGTGTTGTTGACAACCTGGTTCATAGTATTCACCAGGAGTGGGCACGGCTGTGAGCTCAATGATGTCTTGAGCTTTAGCTTCATGATGAACATCTCCTGTCATCCACTCAAGGATCCAAGTCTTCGGATCCCTGTTGTATCCACGAATGTGGAGGGTAGCATAGAATTGAAGCAGAAGTTCTTCATTCTAGTGTTCCTTTGCAGTCACAAAGTTGAGC